CTTGTAAAAATTAAAAAAAAAAGGGTAAATAATAATTCGGTCCCATGATCAAATTATTATTAGTATGTTATAGCTCTTTAAATATGATCAAATTTTTGTAAATAAATATCTTAATAAAGAAGATAACTAAGGCGATCGAAATTACTTCTCACCTTATATGTCTTATTAATGATTAATTTAAATGTATCACTCACAGAATGAGATGTAAATAATAAAGCTCGTATTATTTTAATTGCTGTACCTTCAAGTGTGCCAAGTGATATTCCAAACACATTTTTGCATTAGCAATACTTTCGACGGTACCGACGAAGACGAAGGGCACCTGACCCTCTTCTCTTGGAATCGTTGGTTGAGGTTCGTTGTCTCCTTCTATTTTTACACGTACCTGAAATTTATAAGATTAAGAATCATATTGCTCATTGTACCGACAATAAATATTCGACTATGAATAATTTAATCTGATATCACGTCCATACACCTTTAATTTTCAGTCACCTTGTTTGTTAGTTTTGTTAATTGAATTAAAAATCAGGCGACCAAATTTTGTTACATAGACGTTTGATATGAAACAATTTCTTTTTACTTATACGAGTTTAAAAAGTTTATTTCTAATTTTTTTTTAAAATTCGGAAGTTTATAACTATTCATTGTCCTCTTTTATGAAACTCTCAATTTTAAAATCCAAATGGCTATGGATGGATAAAATGCATGGACATGAATAATATATACATGATACAAAATTTGTTTAGTAGTAGACAAAAAAGGATATTTTTGTATTGGGTGGGACTGGCTCGAGTGGGCTGTCTAAACTTTAAAAATATTCCTAACGATACATAATTCATATAATTGAACTAACTGAAAAAAATCAAAAACAATGAACATGATATACTTACTCTATCAGTATATACATTCCCACTCGAACCAGTTGTTATCTACCGAGAACAAACAAGGTTTGTATAGCATATACCAAACCCATAACAAATAACTGTGATTTTCACTATAATATTGAGTTTTCGAGTTTAACTATTTCCTTTAAAAAATATTATCATATAAAAATATATAATTAACAAAGTAATGGTACACACATACTACTTTCAGATTATATGTATACATATAAATATAAATAGAAATAACTATATATTATATTATTTATATTTATATACGTTCTCACATTAGCGATACAGCAAATTGATCGATGCTCTAAAAAAATGAGTATGTGTATACGATTAAATCAGAGATACTGTATTTAATATAAAAATAAATATACTATAAATTTATATAATCCAAAAAAGAGAAAAATAACAGTATAAATTACAACAACAATAAAATGCCTATAACTTACCAGAGTAATAAATAAAAAAATAAATATACTTACCACGCCACTTTTATCCACAATTTCTTGTATTACACGACCATTTTTCCCAATTACTTTGCCTACCAAGATACGTGGTACTTGTATAGATTCTTCGCTATATTCAAGCATGGAACGAGCTTTTTTAACAGCTTCATGTGTCTGCAATCAAATAATAATGTAATATTTACCATGTTTGAATTGTTCTGTTGATAATATACAATTTGTACAGTGACTTCAATTATTACAATTACCTCTCCAAATATTTTGAATGTGCACGAATTTTCTTCTAATTCTATATTCGTAATTCCATCGACTTTCCTCGCTTGTTGAATATTTGCGCCATGAGCACCAATTGCTAAACCCATCAGATCTTCTCGCACATTAAATTCATCTGTGTATCTAAAAAATAAAGTGTTTTCCTTTTCAAATACCTAATTTTGAATGGGAACAACAACATACAATTTCTTCTGCTGAAATAATGCAGGTAATTATAATAAACATGTTTCGCTATAATTGCATTGAGTAATGTTTTTAGAAATCAAATTAATATATTTAGTTTTAGTAATACTGTAAATCAATGAATATTATTCAAGTGCAAATATCACTTTCTATTGATGTAAACAAAAATATAAATACTTATATACATAAATATTTCGAATATACATATATCAATTGTATATTAAATTTTTTATATCCGCTGGCATAAAGTTTATGTTTCTTGTTAACAACATGCAATACAATATCAATGTGTTAGAGTACAATTATGAAAAGCAAAATGTTTTAATAGAATTCAAGGTCCTATCTGTGGCTTGCATCTTGGCAGATAAAAGTGATAGAAATTTTTTTATAAAGTGCACTGAACGTACATGATATGTGATAAAAATTAAACAAGATTTACAAAACTATAATTAAATTGAGAATAAATCTAGTTTTCTGTTCTATACAATCTGCAATAATTAAACTTGAATTAATATTTGTGTGACATTAATTTTTTTTTTGTTATATAGACACACATAACCGTTAAAAACAAAGGAACAAATGTACATTTTATTGTAATAACAAATGTATTTAAAGCGATACAAAAATAATTATATTAGAAAAATAACATAAAATTGTGAATTTGAAAGGAATATTTAGGACTTGAAATAATGAAACCACGATTACGCGATTGTACGAAGCATGCACATGTTGCTATTACTAAAATAGGAAAATGATTATAATTCCTGCATTTTACTGTAGCTTCTTAAAATTTACATGATTTAAGTATCATTTGAAAACTAGAAAAAATTTAAGTTGGAATATCTATATTTCCTATAATGTTATTAAATATTTTATTGTAATAATAGGAGAAATCATCATGTGTATGCTGTTTTTTAGGTTCTTAATATTTATATTTACAATGAAAGTATTTAAATATATAAATTTCAGTTTATATAAATGTAAATGGTAATTTTATATAAAAGAACATTCAACTTTCTGAGCAAAGTTGTTTTGAAGTATAACCATTTTGACAAACATAAAAATTTATATTCGAAACATATGTATGCTGTTGTAATATTTTATATAAACAAAATTCTTTTTATAGAAAAAGGAAATTGTCTTAAAAAACAAATGCAATTCAATAATATTGAAATTATAAAAAGAATTAAAAATAACATAAAAGCCTAAAAGAAATTATGCAATACTGAAGTTTATATTAATGATAAAATGCTTCTTTGATCATCCCATCCATTATAATTTGCACAAATTAATTATTTACTTTTAGCACAATATTATACAGAGTTACCAGTTATTCAACTTTTCGGGCAAGACACTTAATATATCAGTGTTTCTCAAACATTGGCAGGCCAGAATATATTTCCTTAT